AATATTTTTTTTTTATGTACAAACCCCAAAGCCTTAAGTAAACTTATTCTTCTCGCATAAGTTTTTGTCTTGTTAACGGTTCTTTCTGCATTTCATCTGTTCGTTGCATTGCATTTGGCCATATTCTCATTCAATCAGGTTTAGAATTATTTCAAATATTTACATTACATCTTTCACACACACAAAAAAGGTAATTATACAGTGTTTACATACATACGTACATGCCATTATGTCAGTTTTGCAATCGCATACGTATTTTAGTTCATAAAGCAATGAGTGCATTGGATTTCTTTACTTTATGTACAATACATTTCATTTATTATTCCATACGCATACGCACATATGTATGTATGACCATATAGATAATTGTATATGTGTGTAGCTATATATATTTAAGAGTTTTTTGCGTTGAAGGTGCATAAAAATGTTGTATGTTTGATTTTCTGTTTTGTAAATCACAAGAAATTTGTTTCAAACCGATTTTCATTGTGTGTGCTCGGTACAATATACATATATAACTAGTATATAAATAATTTAAAATTTATATTCATAACGTCTGCAGTACACAAACAACTGCATACATACATATGTATAGCAACTTGAAAGTGTATATGTATACTTGTGAATTTTTGTGCACATTCATATATGAATTTCACGGCATTTGCGATTTTTTTTCCTTTTCCTTTTAGTTTAATTTTATTTCACTTTATTTCATTGTTTTTTTTTTTAATTTTTTTTTTTTTGACTGGCTGTCTTTATGGTATAAAAATAAATCGCGTTTCTAGACAACCAACGACGTCAAAACAATCGTGTGAATAAATATAATATAATTCGAATGTGCTATATATTTTATGTGAGTGTGTGTGAGTAGTGTCGAAAAATTTGCCAGACATACCAAAGACTCGTATGCTCCTTGTTCGTTTCGTTTTTTTTTCCAATGTCTGGGACATTTTTCGAATATATTCATAGGTATAATATTTCGAGTTTCGCCACTTTTCTAGAGCTACATACACACATATTACAGCGTGATCTTGTAGACAGCAGCGCATAATTATTTTTATTAGCGAGCTGCGAACGCCATATCTAATAAGTTATAAGATGCGTTTCCTTAGCGATAAAATCTCAAAAATTTTCTCTGTTATACAATGCTAACGGTAGAGAATATGAAATTCAAATATTATTGTGATTTAAGAGTTACTCAGCACATTGCCGTCATGTAAGCTATTCAATTATATGTGATTTGTGGACTGGCAATTACAAGATCACAGCTGGTGCTTTGGTGCTTGTGTCGCATACATAATATGTTGTTATAATAAGCGCAAACGTTAACTTTGGTTGCATCAATGTTATAATACCCTTCACAGTTGCATTTCTTATAGCATAGAAGGGTACACAAAAATCTTTATTTTGATTTCAATCCTTCAGTTCGATGGCAGCTATGTATATGCTACAGTGGTCCGATATGAACATTTTTTTCGGAGTTTGAAGGGTGACTTTGGACAACAATCTATGCCAAATTTCGTTTTTCATACAAAACTTGATTTTTATCAGGCAGTTTGTATGGCAGCCTTATGCTAAGGAGGTCCGATATCGGTGGTTCTGACAAATGAGTAGCGTCTTCAAAAGAAATAGACGTGTGCGAAATTTGGAGTCCATATCTACATACAGTTGTCCACAAAAAAATAGGAGTGACCACATGAGAAAAACGATTTTTTTAATTTTCTTTAAGAAAAGAGTTTTTTTTTCAAAATTTTTGAAGAATGTAATTAACTAAAGATCTATTAATACTTCCACATTTCATATTTTTCAATTAAA